AATAACTGTTTCGTTATAATCTTTTGTCGCATTATGAGAGTTTTTTCTTTCTCGTTAAATGATTGTGGGTAGAGTACGGTGAGTGCCTAAAATTTCACATAATCCTTTGAAGTGTTGCTGAGTGGGGTTAACGGACGGCGCAAAATGTGTAAAATATAATAAGCAGTCGTTCGTATAGATTTAAGTACTATGACTTTTTTCACATAATATTGTTTACAACTCATTTCATAAAGGTGAATGCCTAGTCGTTCTTTTCAAATATTTCATTTCTCCTTTTATTATATTTATAATTAATTTACGTAAAAATTACATAAATCTAATTATTCTCGTCGCCAACTTGTGATTTACCAGGTGCAAGAAAACACGCGTGTCAAGTTAATTTAGTGGTTTTCATTTTATTATTTTCAGCATGTGTGTAAGTGCGTCATCTGCAAAGTTTAGTAATTGAATATAAAGGCATTTCCAGATAAATGTACCCGACAAGAACGTAATAAGCATGAGAATAGTAAAGCAGGCAGGAAAAAATTTGTTAAAATATGTTCGAAAATTGCATGTGGACACAAAAAAAATTTTCTTTTGTAAAGGACACAGACGTAGTGTGATAAGTCTCCGACAAGCAAAAACAAGAAATAAGTGACACTCATAAAAATGCAAACTTGCAGCCGTCAAAGATCGTCGAATCGGAGTAAGCACGACTTGCTGTTAACTTATCCATTGCTATTAAGAATTTGCTTTAGTAAATAAAAAATGTATAAAAATTTGGACAAGAAAATTAGTACATAAGCAACATCAAGACTTCAGCAAAACACAATTCTTTTTATCAATGTCAAGCTGAGTTCATCTTGTCTTTAAATTAATATATGAAATTGGTTTCATTTGTTAAGGATGCTCCAAGATGGGTTTATTTTGACAATTTTGGGGTGAAAGTCTTGGCTGAAATAGCCGAGTAGTGTGATCTCCCAAAATTAAGAAATGTGTGCATTTTTATACCATAATTATGCTTCTTCTACATTGTAACATTTTACATGGCGACTCTCCAATCTTGACTCTGTCCACTTACGGAAAGTTTTTCTAAAAACCTACCTAAACTCCAGCCAGATTCTGGTTTCTTACTGTGGGCAGCTTAAGCGGGCTAAAAGTGTTTGCTCAAGATAAGCTTGTCTGGGACTGATTGCTCAATCGGCCCATCCGAAAATTAGTCTGTCTGATTTTGCGAAACACCTGCAAGAGATGAATGTCAACAGTCTTTTCTCTTCTCGTGGGTACTTCAACAGGATGTAACCGCTTGGTTCCCGAACTCTGGAGTTCAGCTATCAGGCACGTAAAGGTCGTCCTAGAGGAACGTAGTAAGGCCATGGAGATCACAGAGTACGTCCTCTGGATGAGATACTTAGTTGCTTCTGCTGCTCAAGTTTGGACCACCGAGTTAAAAACTGCAGGGTCAGAAACATGGTTTGTAGACACTGTGGTTAGACCACTGCTAGGATGTGCTTACGAATGCCGCACACTGTAGGAACAGTGAATTTAGGAGCCTTCCTGCTCTCTGCCGTGTCCAGAGAACAAAAATATGATTGCGTGTTCGGCTGCTCGATATTAGTATGGCTTTTCTCATACTTCAGAATAAGTGAAACCTGAAACTGCAATGTGTAAGACGGGCAGTAGTTTTGCACTGGTGCAGAAACCCTTCTCTTGCGGAGAGAGGCTTAGGACATAGGAATATTTCTTGACTCTGCTGCCATTGTGAGGGACGTGAATGTGGAAGCGACAGTTCGGGACAGTTGTGCATTATTTTACAATACATGCTTAAATATTTAAAGATATGTGAATGTATGTGTCCGTCTAAAAACATTTTGATACATAGGGGTATAAGCGTACGGGTAGCTGTATTACAAGATATTTAAACACTCAAAGTTACATATATACGTATAGATGTACGTTATAATGTATATGGTTAAATAAGTATTTTATATGACGTGGAGGTAGTTTGCTGTAACACTATCACCGATATATTGCGGCTCCCACGAAATATTTACTGCCGATATTCAATTGTTTTCATTTAGTTTGTATATTAACATCATTAATAGTATTAACTTCGCGAATATGATTGTATTTATGCTGATATTAATTGTACTGGATTTGATATTTGTATGTATTATCTACTTCATCGTTTCTTCGTGTTGAATTTCCTTAAAATATAGGGATTCTAACTTTATATCTAAGGATGTAGTATCAGGTTTTTTCTTAATTTTAGTTATTAAGTTTGGTAGGATCAGTTGGTTGTAATGTTTTCTTTTTAGATCAGAAAAAATCTTATTGAGGACGTGTCTTTTGCAATTTTCGAATTTGATTAGAAATTGTTTTTAGATTTTATCTTTCGCTTGTGGGAACTGTGGAATATAGAACCCTTTCTCTTTGCTATCGCGCTCACGAAGGTATTGACAAACGTAGGCATAGAGTAACACAGCAGAGTAAAAAGGGAGGTGTTTAGTTTAAATATATACTTCAGTTTACTCGTATTTTGTTTAGTTTTGTATTTGTTTTAATTTAAATATATACTTTCACTTAATATTTTACTCTTGCTTTGCACATTCATGTTTGGTTGAACGTGCACTCATTAACACAGCATTGTTCATGCACATGCATTTGCATATTCATCTTTCTGTGTTGGTCTGTTTTAGCATAACTGACCATAGACAACGATATCGCAAATTACATAATCTAAACCTTAACCGTCGTTGTTTATGTTAATTTGCGTATGTTGCATTTTCGTCACACACTCCAAGCTGTTCATATTACTGGAGTAAACGAACGCAAAAATGCAAGTGCATTATTTTATAATATTTATTCATTGCAGAATAATTCTGCTTTAGTTTATAGAAATTGTAATTTATAATTCACGTTTTTTCCAATAAAACTTTATCATTGCTGTTTAAACATTGATCATTTTTGTTCTATTAGCGTTTCTTCCAATTCCAAGTGCTGGAAGAGACAATTAATCACTTGGTAGTTTTGGTGGTTTGGTCGGTGGTTTGCTTGGTGGTTTTATATAACCCTTGACTATAGTTTCGTTCAAATATACTGTACGAAACAAAGTTGAATATATCTTACTCAACCAGGAGGAATAAACAAAATATGCAACGATCGGCAATTGAGTCTAAAAGAAATTTTTAACAAAGACTCGCCGAGTAAGTCATTAACCTTATGAATTAAAAATTTTATCGAATTTAATAAATTTATAAATTACACAATATATAAAAAAACCCGAAATGGTTAATAAATTTCATCACCTTGTAATTAACAATCAACTATTTAATTATTTTAATGTAATTATTTTAATGTGTATCTCATGTAAAATAAATTACTTTGTTGTGATTCAAGCTATATTAAAATTCAATTCGTATTTACTGTTAATACTGATATGTGAGTGCTAAACAATGTTTTGTTGTTTTCAAAGATAAGGCAAACGTGCATATACGATTGCACATTATTTGTATACGTTGACGTCTTGATGCTGTCGTGCTGTAGTAAGTGTGAAGGACATTCTTACCAACTTAGTGATATGAGATCGGCATGCCATTAAGGATATTGTTTTATGCTTGTGATTTTAACTCGTAGATATCAGATGACAATTACTTTGCTGTGTTACAATGAAGGAAGGCGCCATTGATTCAAAGGCAGTGATAACTTACTGTAGGTGGTATCGTATATAAGATAATAGAGCCGAAAGTAACTTTTTTTTGATGTATATATAAAAAAAACCAATAGCCTGTGTTGCTAGTGCTCAATGTCTCTTTTTTTAGTCTAAGAATTCAATTCATTAGTCTAAAATTAAAATAATAATAATAATAATAATGTTAACCAAACAAGTACACCAAGTTTCGTGCCGGAGGTAGGGTGTGCAGGTTTGTTTATGGATGTGAGTGTACTAACGGATAATAGATACGCAATGCGAGCAGACAACAGCGAACGACCCAGAAAGTTTTTGAATCGATCCAAGCTTGTCTACCTTTCTCTCCCCGTGATGTCTGTCCGCATAATTTGAAATGTCGTTGGATTTTGAGGCTATTGAATACTACACGCATTACATCCTAAACTACTTGTGATGTAAGGGTATGTTAATTTGACGCAAATATATACAATACCCGGAAAAACTTGAAATAGGCCCATCTCATATTAAGCGAAGGAGTGTAGCGTTTTTAATTACCGACCATAATGTTACTTGCTTCTCATCTAATTTAGTATCAGAGAGAATTGGCTTCACTCCCAATTTTTATCACCCAAACCATACGAGCTTTTTATAAATAAATCGAAACCTTGCTAACCTTGCTTGACACGTGTTGAATGAATATGCTCGAAGTTAGCTGATTTTTCTGTTCTCTCTTGATATCGCTCTTAATCACTTTCTCTTACGTTGCAATTGCTTGAGTGGTCGGTTTTTTACGTCATCATTCATAATCAAGTACCGCATAAATTTGTGGGAAAGAACAACTCGCTCATCTTAATCTTAAATTAGATCATTTCATATTTTTTAAAATATCGATCCTTTATTAAGAATTATGAAGAGGAAAATAAATAAATAACAAAAAACGAATAATAATAAAAAGAAAAAACTAACACTAAATAATTCTTATTATTATTATTATTATTTTAATTTTAGACTAATGAATTGAATTCTTAGACTAAAAAAAAGACATTGAACACTAGCAACACAGGCTGTCGGCTCTAAATAATTTTTAAAAAATTATATAATAATAATAATAATAAAAAATTATAAAAGCATTTCATTTATAAATATATGATTTATAAGAGAAAGAATAGTTGAAGCTTTTTTTATATCTAAAAAATGATACTATATCCTTGTAAACGAAGGAAACCGATAATGATAATTTGGCACCGGTTCCGTAAGTACGCAAAGATTCGCCGCCGAATTTTCGGATATATTAAATGCAGCCATTTCTGCTTCTTCCTTCGACACTTCTGAAGCCATTACATCTTCAAAATCTTTGCTTAACAACAATTCTTGGGAAGCACTTTCATTAACACTATCATTCAACTGACACGCATTCTCTCTATACATTCTCCAGCTGTTTTCTTTTTGAATTCAACTGGCACGCATTCTCTCTGTACATTCTACAGCTGTTTTCTTTTGATTTGCAAAAATAGGAAGAACTTACCGGAATGGTTAGCGTCATAACAAAGAAATTCAAATCTGTGCCAGAAGTGTGGCGTTCCGCTGCTAACACATTGTTTGCCATAGGAATCAACAGTTGCTGCATAAGGCATTGAGTAGTTTGGCAGAGCGAGAACGTAAGTAAAATACCTTCTGACACTACCAATAAGCAGTTTGATTTCATTTCCTTTTTTCAGATGTAAACACGATCATTATGTTTGCGAATCTGAACCAAAAATATGGACGATGCGAAATGGCTCAGACTCTGCTTGATCAGATCGTTACTTCATATCCCAAACGAGTCGTTTTCTGAGCAATTGCTTGTTGCTCGTAAAGTAGACAAAGAAAAAAAAGAAAATGAAAGTGATTATACCCGCCTTTCTATTCGCACTTTGTAAAACAGTTGGGAGTATTTAATACACTTATATCAAATATCACAGGAGAATGGGTGAACAAGTGCAAACGGGATGTGTATCTCCGTAATCGTCATCAATATGCGCTACTGTAGCCAGATTTTTTTGTCAGGACTCACGAAGAGCTAATGACGATAGAAGCACTTACATTGCTAAACTTCAAAGTCATGCGAAAATCTAATCGCAATAATACTCCCGGCAGGGAATGCTCCTAATTCGCGGTTAAATGCGAAATGGTTGAGAGAAAAAAAGAAATAAATAAATTGTAGTTAATTCTGTTTGACGAATGATATGGAAAAGTTTCGAAAAGGAATTTCCATTGGCAAAATTTGTAAGGTATTGTGACCGTTATGTAACCATATATTGAGAGACGAAGATGTTTAAATGTATCGACCGATTGTCTTACGTTCGATCCATCATTTAAAATATCCTCGTGTGCTAGGCATAAATAAGTAAAAAAGTCTCAATTCGCTTTGAATGAATATTTGATAACCATACGCATAAATTTAGAGATTAATTTTACCTCCAATTCTTAATTAAGCTAAGAATAGGTCATCTGGAAAATATTAATAGGATAATAGAGCACGATCTTGTACAAAATGTTGTCTTAACTGAATATGATTTGAATGAATTAGGTGAAAAATATTGAAACTGAATTTAGACTAAATTATTTAAAATTAAATCGGATTAAATCGGATTGAATTGAAATTGCATAAACTTGAACTGAAAAGTAAAGCAAAAGTTATAGTCGCTTATCCAATCGTGGCTTCTTCAAATTCTAAATTAAGGCACTCTCATAGGTTGAAGCCTGTCATACATATTAAATCCTTTAAAAATTCAACGAAATCATTAACATTTTTCTAATCTGATTTCTTCACACTTGTTTCTATTCTATGGAAATAAAAACTTACTTTTATTAAATGGCCATCACCCGCTATAAGGGGAATCCAGACAAGTTAGATAGATGTTTAACTATAGTTGAGCAAATCGGGCTGCACGTGAAAGCAGTAGTCTGTAATAGGGGCCAACAAAATATGTATACGCTGGCGAAATTCAAAAACGGAAAATACAAAGAGGAAGATAATGTCCAATTCTTCACCCCTGCAGCAGTAGCAACCTTAAAACTGGCAGTTCAGCGGAAAGTTATCAAGGAGAACAAAGTAATGCGAACATACGAAGCCATCGCTTCTCTAATCAAATTCGTCAAAATTTTTCACAGTAACAAAATCTGCAGCGCCAAATGGGAGGAGCAGAAAGTGGTGCTAGCGGAACTTAAAAAATATTTCAATAATAACTTCGACGCGGACGAAATAGTTGACGCAACCATTGAAAGCATGGACAATTTCATGGAATTAATAGATGGGCTGCGAAATGCTTACCCTGGCGTCAGTAAGTAAAAGAACCGGACCAGGCAGCCGGAAATAGTAATGAAGCTGGTCACCCGACTAATGAACCGGCAAGTCGAAGTATGGGGAAGCGGCACCACAATAGCTCATGATTATGATCTAATCGATAAGTTTGATTACACGATACAAGCCCAGGCCGAAGAGGAGTTTGTGCCATATGGTCTGGATGGGGTGCCATTCAACGTAGCCCCCACGCGACTTACGAGAAGGGATAAGGAGTATTTCATGGTGCTCACGGGCTTTGGCATAGGTCAATATGTACGGGAGCAGTTGAGATGTCCGGCATGCCTCGAGAACCTGGCCATAACAAAAGAAGAGGCATGCTCAGAAGCTAACGGCGTACTTGTCGCCAAGCATCCCGATCACAATACAATCCTGGCGCACGAGAATCTCGAACTACGAATTTCCAGAACACAAAGTCGATGAGGTTTTTTTAAAAGCCTTCAGCGTGCACCTGAACATTATGGAATATCACATAGTGGAGCGCCGAACAAATCTTCTGGGCTTCATCATCAATTTGTTGCTGAGTCGAAAAAACTGGGTGCAAGAAGAGTTGAAAATGTGTCATCATTTTAAAGGTAGTTTGGGATCATCTTTATATATAACATTCAGTAACCACGATGTTTTTCTTTTGCAGATATCAGCACATCAGCAAGGATCCAGATCAATTTATAAGTATCTTCTATATACTTATTATGTACCTATATTATGTATTAACGGAGCTTAGATTTATTTATTATTATATAGATATTATATAGATATATTATAGTTTTAAATTAAGTTTATAATGGCGTAGGCCTACAGCTGAGCCAGCCATTTAAAAAAATTGGCAACGCGCCTATCACGGCATGCCAAGGGTCGTGCGGAAAACCGTGAAATTTATATTGATATGTTCAATTATAATAATGAAAAATTATAGAAAGACTATTCTTCCTTCCACATTGGATTGGCAAGAAAAAACTAAAACTTCATTCGTTTTCTCTTAATTGTATTGATCTAAAATTAGTAAAAATGTTACAGTGGGCTATTATTTTAAAAAGTATTTCGATGAATACCCGTACTGAGCGAAGGTGGATAGGGTATTTAACGCACTTTGTTTAAAAAGTGCCTTCTTCACTGTAACTTTTTCTTATTCCTGCAGCTTAAGTTTTAATTCATTTTTTTTCGTTAATTCATTTTTAAAATAAACTCATTTCAACCAAAGTTTGCAACTTTTTTTAATTTTACATCATTATTTTGTCGTAATGCACTCAACATGTCTGCATGTAAAAGCCGAGTTTATAATCTAAATATTTGAGGCACATTTCTTATGGGCTTAGTACATTTACACTCAATATTTAAAACAAAATAATAATAAAACCAACTCTTTGAATTATTCTCAATTCTAAACAAACACAGAATAATTTTTTATACGCTTACTCTCAGATGCTTCCAAATTCTTAGTCGTTTTTTCAATTCAACAGACGGTTGTTTACAAATACAGACTGACTTTTTCAATTATTCTCAATTGTAAACAAATACAGACCGACTCATTGCATTATTCTCAATTCTAAACAAATACAGAGTAACTTGCTCTCAGATGCGACCAAATTTGTTGTTATGCAATCTCGTAAAATTTTGCTGATTTTTTCCTCGTTCTCTCTTATATGACACCAAAGTTTGTTTTGTTTTTTTTTTCCGGGGTATTCAATTTTACCCTATCAATCAAATTATACTCTGATCAATATTCATAATTGCTATTTGATTAACTTGAATTGGAGCTCGACCTGTAGAAGATCCTTATGTGTTAGTAGGACAAATCCTAACAGTAATTCTTCTTCTTTCTTATTTTTTAACTAACCCTTTAATTACTAAATGATGAGATGATATATTAAATGAAGTATTGAGCTTGAATAAGCATATGTTTTGAAAACATAAGATAGAAAATAATTTTCTATTAACTTATTACTAAATTTAATTCACTATAAATAATAAATTAAGTTAGGTTTAATAATTAATAATATTATTGAAGAAACAAATATTAACAAATATTTTTATCTTTTGTTTTTTTCCATTTCAGGTTATTTATTAGTATTATAATATGTATTATTATTATATTATTATTATTCTATTATTATTGTATTATTATTGTGTTATTATTTTATTATTATATATATATTATTATTTTATACTATTAAAATGGTCTTCATCCCTGACGTGATTTTTAGTGACTGTAAAGTCAAAGTGTTTTGACTATTTTGAATTTATTTTTGGGCGTGTCCAACGTGTGCACTAAACAAATAGGGAAGGACTGTTTTGCACGGTCTATTCAAATAACCAAATGGTCAGGGGCTTAATCGGTTAGTATGATTCGATCAAACGTCACGTCAGGTCGTACCAACTTTTTATATATGGTTCTTCCAGGACTTATAACTGGAAGAAACCGTTAAGAAATAGATAACGATCAATTTCAGATAGTACAAAGACGAATTTTATTGTTAAGGACACGGATTATAAATTATAATTCTTATAAAGTAACTTAGAATTATTTTGCAATAAACGAATGTATAAGTTGATGCACTTGCAATTTTTGCATTTGTTTATTCCAGAAATATGAACGACTTGAAGTGTGCCATGAAAAATGCAACATAAACAAATTAATGTAAACAACGACGACACACTTCAAGGTGTGGATTGCATAATTTGTGATATCATTGTTTATGGTCAGTTGTGCTAAAGCAGACCAACACAGAAGCATGCAAATGCAAGTGCATGAACAATGCCAAGTTAATGAATGCTCATTCAGCCAAACTTGAATGTGCAAAGCAAGAGCAAACGTTAAGTGACAATATTCATTTAAAATAACTACAAATACATGATATGAATAAACTAAGATATATTTAAAACTAAACAGTGACCTTTTGAAGAAATATCCGGAGTTGTGGGGACAGAAAGGGGGTTATATTCATGGGAAGGTAGCTGGTAGGGCATTAGCCGACGAACTAACACAAAAGATAATTACAACTGTAACGACAGAAGACGTAAGAATAAAATGGAAAATTGTTAGAAATAGCTTAAAAAGACTAAAGATGTCAGAGAAAACAACAAGTCTTAAACACTTATAAACACTTTGAAAAAAATAGCGAAATTCAACATTGAAAGCATATAAAATCTTATTAAACAATCTTAAACAGTTTTAAACACTTCTAAACACTACGAAAAAATTGCGGAATTCAGAAAGCACAACCCCACAAACCAAAGCAAAAATTTAAAGAATGAAATCTGAAGAAATCGACTTATAAATTAAGACGACAGCGCTTTTTTGACCTCAAGAAATCTAGCCTGACTTTTCATATATAGATTTCAATGCGTATGATTTATAATTTAAACAAAGTTGACCAACAATTTCATAAAAAATTGTCCCTTATTTCTAGAATAATCAACAAATCAATAATATCTAAGAGCTTTGTTGCATGTATCAAAAAGAAATCGAATAATTTCGAATATTTAAGATTCCATGGACTGTATTTGTTTTACAAATTATTTTTATTATAAATATCAAATAATATCAAAATATAAAAAACAATATATTACAATTCGTTTTTTCAATAATAACATTGCGGCAGTGAAAAGCAAGTACATGCTCTACATTAGATACTTCAATGTCGCTGCCTTTCAGATATTTGTATCGTATATCGAAAACCTGCGATTTCAGTACTTGAAAGCGTCTCATACGTCTACCATGCGTTTAAGTTTCTGCATCATTTTAATAAACATTAGGTATAAATAATTCAGTAAGTTTGGAAAATTAAGTAGCTGTTAAAAGGCTAAGACAATGCATTTGACATCTTACATCAACATGTTGCAGCTGTGTCTGAAACACCCAAGTATGCTCTTAACACCTGATGATTGGTTAGAGCTCGGCGATTTCTGCAAAATTTTGCGCATTTCGGGCACTGATATGGTCCACCAATAGGTATTAAAGTTCCATGACCTACCTGCGGTACGCGCACGAATTAGGTTTGGAACGGGCAGTTGACCGAATGACCGCACAGTTATCAGCGGGGACATAGAGGGCGAAAACATAGAAATTAACAGTGATAACGAATTATATCGTATTTAACGAAACGCACATAAAGGAAAGCAGATTTTTAGAACAGTTAGAGAAAGAATAAACAAAGGGATGTACAGATGGACGAACAAAGGGAGGTAAGGCCATCTTGCATTAAAAGCCCCGGTAGTATAATTTAAACAGACAGACCAGTTGGGTATTCGATGAGGGAAGCAGCGCGGAGGGCGAAGAATCAATGCCTTGAACCCGTTGCAAACGAAGATGAAGGCCAGGAAGCTGAAGTAGTTGATGACTTACTAGGCATCGACGCGCTGGGAGGGTTAAGTCCTCAGGACAAGGGTGTACAGGTACACTTCGACGGACAGTACACAAATGAAAAAGCAAGATATTCTCGGACCGAGGATATCCCATACTGTTGCGGCTACTTTAACTTGAAAAAGTTACGAAGACGGAAATCTACCGAACAATCCTCGTCTTCGGTGTACGTATCCTCCTAATGGCTTTCAACATGCTAATCAGCGCCCTTCCCATTGCAATGTAATACGCTTTTCTCTCTCTCACTCACTCGCTCTCTCTATCTTTGTCTATCAGCTGTGCACGTAAAAAATGATATGTTACATGCATTTCTAAGTTTTCTGTAACAATAGATTCATAAACATCGTTATGTTATGCATCAATATTTCGTGATTTTCAAGATAATGGACTTGTTTTGAGGATTAGAGATTGCTTCGAATAAGATTCTTGATAAAATGTTTGCAGAAAATTGTGGCATTAATATAACTAACACAATATTATTGTCTTGGAAAATAATGACACTTTAATGTTTGTGTAAGCATCGAAGTTTGCAATTAAGTCGAGTTCTTCATCTTCGAGGGTTGCTATTTTCTTTTCTAGAGACTATTGAAATTTGTTCATGTAATTGCTAATTAATATTTGGGTGGCTTTAAAATTATTAATAATTGTTGGATTATTTATCTTGTTCGTTAAGTTGTGCTCGTTTGTGTATAGATTGTCGAGTGCATATTTTGGATTTTGTTATCACTACCCCGTAGACTCGGCTATAAACTTCAACCGTAACATATTGATAAACTCGCGTTTGCGTTTAAGGTAAGGATTAAGACAATTTCTTCTTTCTTTTACTAAAGCAAAGCTTTACATATCGCATCCAGTAGAAATCTATTCTCGGTTGTACTAGTAATGCTTATATGTTTTGAAGAGGTTGGTTGTTTCCTTGTAACATTTATGATGTGAAGAATTTTGTTGTAATGTTCGATTCTATTCAGTTGTCCGTTTTTTTTTTTGGTTAAGCCTTGTACGTTTAGCTTTCGCGTTTTCTGGAGTCCAAAAATTGTTATATTATATCGTCATGAATAAATTTTTATTTATTGTATAAAAATGGCTCTGGGATGGAAGATATTTGGTGTGCCAAACAATAGCTAACAATTCCTTTTCATCTGGGCTATAGTTAGTTTCAGTGTATGGTTTGCGTAATACGCCGAAAGATTAATTCGTGAAGCGGAGCACGTTACTTACAGTTGGGATGATATGTCAGGGTCCTTTCAAGGATATCGAAAGATTTTTGATAAAAAACGTCGTTAGTGTTTATTTTTGCATTCTGTTTAAATATTTCGTGAATGGTTTTGCTAAATAAGAAACATCTTTAATTAATTTTCTATAATATCCTGTTAATCCGAGAAATTCTTTATTTGCATCGAACCTATGAATCGGAGTGTTAATTAAAATGAAAGACATAGATAGCAGGGAAACGTTTCAAAAAATTTAAAAAACGTCTGCGACCTAAAAGAAGAAAATAAGCGAAAATAAATAATGTTAAAATCAAGCAAAACTAAATTTCTCAATTCACTTAATGAAAGTCAACTCTAATCGTGTGGCCACTTACCAAATGATAATAACACGTTGGGAGAACCTATATTTTGATTTTTGCAAGAATCGACATTTTCTCTATTTCTCATTTTGCACATTTTGAAGAAATTAGTTAAACTTTTAGAAGGGTGTAAAGCGAAACTTAATAAAACCTGCACATCCACGGCGTCCCAGTTTCATTTCTTCACAATAGCTAAGAAAACTTTCGTCGTATCACTCTCATTTAGGACATTGTATGTAGAAATTTTGTCTCTTCAAATATTAATTAATTTACCTAAACACATGTTTTGTTTATAATGTTTTGTCAATAAATTCTCGAAAAGTTATATTTTCTACTTCCTACACGTCTTAATATATATCACATTTTCCATATCAATCAATAACGATTTCTTTTCTCATCATCAATTCGATTAATTTTTTTTTTCTCTCTCTTATTGTCACATACTTAAATGTTTTTAACACAAATTAAACACGTCTTTTGTATTATTATTGCTGTGCTACATCCAAACAACTATTATCATCTTTTTCATTTCCAGCCATTTGGTTGCGTGTAGGTTTATTTTCAATATATAAACACAGCTATTTGTCTACGTGTAGGTTTATTTTCAATATGTAAACAACCGTTTGGTTGCGTGCAGGTTTATTTTCAATATGTAAACAACCGTTTGGTTGCGCAATACCATAATTAGCTGTTGCTTTTTTAATTGAATAAACACAATTATTAAAAACAAGTAAAAAATGTAATTTGAAGAACGTTTTCTGATTTATTGATTAAAACAAGCAGACAAAGGGCGAAATTATCAGCATGATGGTGATCTCAAGAAATTTTGAGAACAACGTGGCAAACAACTCTATGTTAGCTGCGTCGTCGCTTGCGTTTTTCGAAAAATGCAGAAAAAGCTATGGAAAATGAGAATATTTTGCACCCGCTTTGCGAGTTATCATGGTTAAAGGAAAATTCCAAGGCGTAATTAAGGCGGCTTCTTCCGCAGACCACTCGAAGAATGAATTGCTCAAACTGTGAAAGTCAAGTTTACAATCAATGATATTAGATAAATACAAATGATTGATATGCACACCCAACTGTATATTTATATTACTCTTTTAAATAAAAAATCATTATGCGATAGTGTTGGTTTTCTTTACTATAAACAAAAAAAAAAAACAAAAAACATGTACAATCTGCCTAACTTTAAAGGCGTATTTTAATCATGCAACACAAAGAAGATTTTCATGCCCATTATCAATTTATATTTTTATTTGCAATTTAAAAGTGCCGAATTTTACTGAAATTTCGCATCCAACCATAATTCATGCAAGGTGTGGTAATTAACACGATGTAGAACCTATTCCAATCATAATTTATGCAAAAATCGGTGAGATTTCAAAGCACTTCCAGAAGATGTGTAACGATTTCGTTTGGATCATTATGGTCCTTTGACCACCTTGCGATGGCACGCTACTATAAAGGGTTATCCCGGGGAAGAAGAACAATCGAAAACGCGGTGTATTGGCGTCTCATTGAAGGGTGCGGTTAAGCCACATCCACATGAATCCCGAAAACGCTGCAATAGTTGCAGGCAAAGTCGACTTTGCTCTACGTAATTTTGTGAAAATCCATGGCAGGTCGCTACGCAAGGCAACATTATCGGAAAATAATGCCATCAATGTCTCTCATCTTTACACTATTTTGAATATTATTGAAACCAAAACCCCCGGTTTAATCATAATGAAGTTTATTTAAATAAAAAATCACTGATATATAAATGTAATGAAAAAATGAATTTTATTTTTCAATAAAGCAGAAATAAAACAATCATTTATAATTACATAACATTTATTTATAGTATAGAAACAAAATATAGTATTCATTTATGATGAAAAAAACCAAAGATAATACCCTTTCTTTTTTGCAATTTATTTAGTAGTAGTTTAACGCGAGTTTTATTTCATTTTTGCATCAATCCATTTGTTTTTCACAGCATATAAAACCATATGATTTCGTGTTATTACTTATAAACACGTCAGTCTGCTTTGATTGCCAAACACAACCCACCCAAAATTTTTAAACGTTTGCCAAAAACTTCCGTTGACGCACAACGCAGCGCAAGCAACGTGTTCAACTACATTCAAATACACACGATCAAATTTATTTTGACAGTTAGTGCGCAATGCGCATTGCAAAGTGCAATTCATCCCTTATTTAGATCAGTTTCTTGTTCTTTTTTTCAAACGTATAAATTAATAAAATTTTAGAAATACCCGCCTGCGAAGGCGAGGAATCTCGACTAGCAACGAATTCTCTGGTCGTACAACGAATTCTCTGGTCGTACAACAAACTTTTCTGGTCGTACAACGAATTCTCTGGTCGTACAACAAACTTTTCTGGTCGTACAACGAATTCTCTGGTCGTATAACGAATTCTCTGGTCGTACAACGAATTCGTTGTATTGACATATTTTTTCTTTTGTTTATAACAGACTTTTTTACACAATTTTTAATGAAATTTTCAAAGTTGCTTTTTTTTCTTATAAAATGCCAAAAAATTTTTATTTCGTAATTTTCTTTCCTAAAAATGCTTATTTTTTTCTCTTGCCTTTTCACTATGCATGAAACTACAATGCTTTATAGAATGTAGTTTTTCACACCCTTTTTTCTAGAATCACATTTATCGACCAACAACTTAAATTCCTTTGTCTAGCCTAGCAAGTCAATGGTCGCGGGTTCGAATCTGAAGTGCGGTAGAGTTTTTAATAAAAGCCGAAGATGCTAGTGCTTTAAGAGTTTAGTCTTAGAATTTATTTCTGTGGCGAAATTAATAAAAGCAATAATAATAATAATACGTAGCTGAAAGTTGGCCTTCGCTTTGGTATTCAGCCGTTAAAGAGCTACATATATAAAAGTACCAACTGAATTATTATTTCAGAGAAATTGTTAGTAGCGGTGCATATCACAATTTTTAATTTAAATTAAAGGAACAAGAAATCCATGCGAGGATAAAAACTAATATGATGTTTTACCTTGCTTTGTGTATACTTTTGATGGTTTTAAGAAATCGCAGAGTAATATTTGCTATGGCTTGCAAGATAATATTTTACTTTTCGTTTTTGTACATTTCTGCTTAAAGATGTATTTGGCATGTGTTAAGACTGTTCACAATTTTTAATAGGGAAATGGAGGTATTGGAAATAGGCGAAAAGATTAAACATTCTACGTTTCACGTTTTTATCTTATTTATTGTAAACTTCACGAAGCTTAACAGATGCACTCGTACGAGAGCGATGATATATAGATATATTTGCAATGGAAGTTTGTCTACCTTTATATATTAAACAATATGTATATTTAACAATAACGCTGTCACCGATGCACAAGTTCCGATCAGGATTGGTATTTCATTACGTGACAGATAATAGCAGAGAAAGAGAGATTAAGCATATAAGCACGGCTTTCCACACCAATCTTGAGGTACCGTGTACCGTGATAGGTGCGTTGCCAATTGTTTTGAATGGCCTTTAGGCTCCTTTAGGCCTACACCATTATAAACTAAACTTAAATTCAATGCTGATGTGCTGATATCTGCTAAAGGAAAGTGTTGTTGTTATTGAATTTTGTATATAAACATGACCACAAACTTATCATTCGCCAATAGAAGTATCGCATGCGTATGCTTGCGTGATACTCAGATAATCTGGCGCAATGAAACGGTAATTGGCGGCATATAATTGGGGGCGCCAGTCATCGCCTTATACTTGTTGGTTTTTCTAACATTAAATAGAAATAAGGCAGAGATAAACACAAAAACTTACCATTGGAGTAGAGCGAATCATTTTCATGGTGCTGAGGCGTTGACCGGAGAGGTCGACTTAACTTTTATTCTAATCTAAAATAGAATAGTAATAAGCAATTTATCAATATATATATATAATATTAACTTGAAAACGAGCAAACAATCTCCTTTGATGAAATACATAATCTGACGCGGCGTAAGTCTTGTTTTTAATCTAAAAATGGAATATTAGACATGGAGCATTAGCAACACAGGCTATCGGCTCTAATTTATAAAAGTACATTACACATTGAGCCTAGTAGTTCTGATAAAGTAATACATTGTATTGATATTCTGCTCTGTAGCTGATTGTACAATGTCCGTAGGGTTAAACGTTCCAAATGCAATACTTCTAGGTAAAGTTAAGGCAGTCACAGAGAATGTGCTTTACAGTGAGAATTTGTCCACAGATTGGGGAGGAAGACTTCTTCAAGATCCATTGATGAGTTACAATTGTCTGACCAAGGCCAATTCTCGAATATGTTTGGATATTGGTTTTCTCAACATTTCTTGGATATAAAGGTGGAGTTAATTGAGGATTAATAAAAGAGTAGTGCTGATGATGGTATTGTAGATTTCCTTCTGTAACTTTCTCTTTACCTTTTCTTCCAGTTTATCTTTGAGGATCCAACTTTTCCATGACATCACCCATAATTAGAGAAGCAGAAGCAGCAGACCAGATGATTTTGAGCCGTCCGTGTATAAAAGATTCCAACCGGTACTCTCCAGTAACTGGGTTTTTTCAGCTATCAGATTCTTGAAGACGAAATATGGAGTATCTTCTTTCTTGTGCATAGACAGCAAAATGTCAAAAGTCAGATTCCTGAAAACGTAATTTGGAGTATCTTCTTTCTTGGGTATAGACAGCGAAATGCCAAAAGTGTAGTCTTTGAAAATCCATGGAGGTTTAACACCAAAATAGCGCAAAACTTTTAAAGGAATGTTCAATTCCTTTGCGATGTACAAACAATAGTCAATTGCAGATGGTGACTTTCGAATTTTCTCTGCAATAATAATCTTTCTCACGCTATTACCGAGAATAGATTTGTTTGAATTAAGAAGCTTGGGGACTATTTTGGCTTTTACCTCATAAAGTCTATTTTCTAAAGTTGGGAGACCACTTTCAATTATAATATTATTTATGGGCGTCGTCCGAAAAGCATAACAACTTGCTCTGAAGGCTTGGTGATAGACCGGTTTGAGGGTGTTGATATTAGATTTGCAGTTATTGCCATAAATTATTAAAGCATAGTCAATCTTGCTTAAAACAAGCATTTTGGTAAGGTAAGCAATATTGGTGATATTCCCATAGCTTTTTCCAAGCAACGTACTGTATGAAATTTACCCTTGTTAAAATAGAATTTTTTAACCGAAGTCAGTTTGTTTTCCAACGATAATTGTTGAAAAACGTGAACCCGAGAATATGGAGCGTCTGCACGTTTTGTACTGGTAAGTCATTAATATGCATCAGTAGATTTCCTGCATCGCACATCTGCCTTCGACAAATGCGCATTTTTCTTGATTTTTGTACAGAAATTTTAGCCCCTGAGGAATTTGCCCATGAGGAGACCTCCCGTCCAATAGATCCGAGAATGTTAATTGCCTTCGTGCTATCTTTCTCTTTTGTAAAAATGTAT